AGTAACAAGCCACCCATTTGGAAACAGCTTATACCACCTATTTATGGTGATGACTGGGGGATGGTCTATTATTGTTTTACTCACATTATAGCCATTAATCATCATTAATCATCGTTATATCTAGCATAAACCATAGAATTAAGCCACTTCATAACTATATAAACACAGCTATTTCTGGGTCCCCCCCATTTTCACACCCCTAAAGATTACCAGGGGCGCCAAGTCGTCGAACCACGCCGGCCCTCCGCTGCCTCCGCTGTGACCATCTCTTCGTCCGACTGGCAGTCGGAAAACCCTCCAAAAATATGAGGATGTTAGAGTGATTTGCTGGGAGAATAATGGAAGATGAATTGGATAATTAATATCCAATTATCCCAGCAAATATGATGTAAATATCCCATTTATAGTGATTATCCAATTGGATGTTAATGGGATATGAATTGATTTGCCCTCTGGTAATGACTAACAGTGTGCAATTGAAAATGGCTATTTAGATTGTTGAGTTACCCATTAAAATGGTGATGTTCCATAACTATGTTCGTTTACCAGAGGGCAAACTACATGGAATAAAGAAATGAAACAAAAACATCCGGACAAAAAACATAGCGTGGGGCATTCACAAAATTGATAAGAGATGGACATGGGAATATGTCCATGCACATGTGCCAAAAAAAAAAACTTGACCTGTGATGCGGAATCCATACACATATGGTGGTTTCTTGAAAGGGGGGATGCCCCAGTCACCATGGGTTTCAATACTGAAAAATATACTAAAATGGTCATCCATGACTTGGATGATTTGGGGGTAGCCCTGTGACTTTGGAAACCTCCATATATGTAGATATCCAAAAAAAATGTGCTAATGGTTATATTTAATGGTCATTAATGAAAAAGACATATAATATAATTATTTATTTATTTGTTTGTTTATTTATTTATATGCTACAATATAATATATATATATGTATAATATAATATACATATATATATAATAAAGTATATCTATTTATATATATATTATAATATATATATATATTATAATATATATATATATATATTATAATATATATATATGTATGTCTATATATATATATATATACATGTGTGTATATATGTTCCTTTTTTATAAAGAATCCATTGGTTTTAGGCAATACCGACTGACCGACAAAGCTACCATCTGTCTGATTCTCCCGCCTCGCTCCAAAGGGCCACCAACCTCAGCGTTAACGAAAAAAAAAATGATGCACAGATGGAAGAAATAGCCTTCCTGACGGAATGCTTGGAGGATCACACCACGTAGACCCCAGCCGAAAGCAAGGAGCAGCGCGTCAGAGAAGAGGGGGCGCGACACAAGAGACCATGGACGGAAGACGCAACCGCGTACGCCAGCTGCTGGAGGAAGCCAGAGTCCGTCCTACCAGTGTTTTTGCTAGGTGCTGTCCAAAAAACACTGTAAATACCGCGGTTTTGGGCTTCCGGGGCGCCAAAAACAGCGATATTTACTTTACGGCGTTTTTTGCTAAGAGTTCTTCGAAAAACGTGAAAACACAACCTATTTGACGTTTTTTCGGCACTAACGACGAGTAAAAAGAATGTGTTGTCAGATGCTTACAAGCTGCACAACAACAGCAACAACTGCCACCACCACAACAACAACAACAACAACACCAACAGCAACAGCAACAGCAACAACCACAACCACGACCACGACCGCGACCACAACCAGGACCAGGACCAGGACTAGGACCACCACCACGACCGCCGCCGCCACCACCACCACCACCACAACAACAACAACAACCGCAACAACAACAACAACAACAGCAGCAGCAGCAGCAACAACAACAACAACAACAGCAGCAACAGCAGCAACAACCACAACAACAGCAACAGCAGCAACAACAACCACAACCACAACAACAACCACAACAGGCCCCTCGGGGCATCGCCGGTATGCGAAGCCAATGACCCTAGTTATAAGTGGATTAATCCTTCTTATCCCACTTCTGAGCAGGGATGTAACCTACTTAGTAAGTGGGATGATCCTCCAAGTAACAATTGGTAGGTTAGCCAACAAAAATGGGGTTTAGCCACCAATGGGGGAATTACAGGCTGATCGGTTGGTGATTTACCCAGTAAATACACTACATGGCGATGTACTGGTGACGCAAAAGGGGATATGTGTTGATAATGATAGGCTATTAATATATAGATATTTAGTGGAACATTATATAAGATATTAATAGATATTTAGTAGTACTATAAGTAGATATTAATAGATATTATTTTTTGATAATATTTGGCGTGGGTTTGTCTGAACATGAGCTATGCCCAACAAATGGCAATTCTCCTTGGAGATTTAGGGCCTTAGATCCATCTAGTTGGTGGCCGTAGCTCGGGTCAGTTGAAACCGGTATACAGTAGAAGTCCGATAACAACCGGTTGGTGGTTTCAACCCCTCTGAAAAATACTAATTAGTCAGTTGGGGTTATTATTCCCAATATATGGAAAGTCATTTAAAAAAAATGTTCCAAAACACCAACCAGACAAAAATGCAAGTGCAAATGTGCTGGAAATAAGTCCGCATGATCATGAACAAGAAGAATCTCCCTTGGTGATGATTGTTTCCTCTCTTGGCTGCAGGATTCAGCCTTGAATTCCCAACCAGTATCATCTGTTGCCCAAGGTTAAATCCTCCTAAGGGCTGGTATTCCAGTTTTGCAAAGAAAAAAATGTCTGTTTAAAGTTTACACGTTTTCCACAGGCAAAGATATTGCAACCCCACCTCTTGGTGATGCCGTGCCAACTTAAGGTGTATACTGGCTGTGTACCTCGTAGTTCTTGGCAACCTTAGGGGCTCCAAAACATTCCAAAACCCTTGCCCTTGCAGTTCCAGCAACTCATCCTCTTTCTGCTTCGTGGCCGGAACCGGTGGATCCTGCAAGGAGGCCCAAAAAAAGACGGAACTCATGAAAGCCTTGCAGAAAATAGAATTCCAAAGAAAATGACAGGGTCATCTTTTTCGGGAAAACAGCTGAAAGTGAGGTTCTTTGTTCGTTTCAAGCAGCTGACCAAACTCAGGTGAACTAGGGCGACATCATTCAACACACTGTCATCGTCGGTTTTCAGTTTGCCCCATTCCCGCACTGACACAACCGGCCAAGAACAAATTGAAGAATACACCACTGATGACGGAAAACCTGGACCCTTCACTCCCTGATAGACATGCCGCAAGTCTCATCCCCAAGTTGGAGCTTATTCACCACCATTTCATTTTATGGTGATTCAATGGGATTTTTACGGGATATTTAATTGGCTTAAAATGGAAACAAGCTGATATTGAACATGAAACAATGAACCTTCAACCTTCAACTGGTAAGATCAAACTTAGTTGCATTGACGAGACTGATGAATGTCAACCTTCAAGCAATATTAATCCACCGGTTTTCCAGAAAATCAGAGACAAAACCCGACAAAGATTGGATATTGGCTGGTTGCTGCCTTTTAACCATCCATAAAAAAGGCGTTGAAAAGAATGGAACTATTAAAAAAAAAAACATACTATTGAGGTAGATAAACCTTTTATCAAGATTGGGGACTGTACGCAATATGAACAAAAAACACCCATCATCCGGTTGCTGCATTTAACCCCCGAAGAAAATTGTGTATCCTTGAGATCATGCGGTTAAAAGACCCCCATTCTCTGCTCACTGCCTTCCAAACTTGGTATTTCATACAAGGTGGTGCCCCCCCAGTTATAAGTTGGTTTATAACCCCCATTGAGCATAAAATATAGATATATCTACCATAAACTCAAGTTATTGGAGTTGATGATATGTGGGTAAAACAATAATAAACCATCCCCCAGTCATCACTACAAATAGGTGGTATGTTTACCATTCCCAAATTAGGGTGGTTTATGGCATTGTTTTACCTACATTCTATCATATTACGGTTGCAAATTATCATTTTCAATAGTAATGTCATTATATCACTCATTATATCATCTAATGTTGAATATATAAACCAACTTAGCTAATGAGCTGGGGCACCACCTTGTAGGCAACTTCATCCCTCCCCAGATCAGCCCAGATGCTGTGGCCGCAGGGCACAGCACTTCGTCCTCTTCCTGGGGCGACGCCGTGCCGATCAAACCACAAAACATTGTATATGCAATATGTACATTACATCTATATTATATATTATATATTATATGTAACTATATGTAGATATCTATAGATATGTGTATTTATATAATATTCTATCTAATTTACTGATGTATATCTATATACATACACAAATGTGTTACTATAGATTTATGCATACATACACTACCTCAGCCGCAAGGGTACCAATTGAGCCCCTGGCATCCGAAAGGATGTCGATTCCAGCCATGGCACACGGATCACAAGGGCACAGAAGTTGCCTCTGTGGCGTTTGACGATGCGTGTTGACCCAAGTGGTTTGACAATTTGACAGTGATTTTTGAGCTGACGGTTTGAAGCTGCGAAGCTCTTGTCTGCATAAGCAAGCTGTCAAATGCTGGTCTCCTTCAGGACAATGTTATGCAGAGTGCAAAAGACTTGATGTTCATGCGAATGTCAGTCCTAAAATCTGCTGGGAAGATGCTGGTTTAAAGTGAACCTATGGCCGTTTGCTCTCAAGATTGCTCTCAAATCAATGCCCTTTGCGTTTATGTTTTCACTGCCTCTTTCCTGCCAAATCACCTTGCCGAGTTTTGGTTCAAGAGTGTGCAGCGATGGCAACATCCTGTGCTGTGGCTCCAGACCAAATCATCCAATGGGTGAATTTCAATCACAAGTATATGTATTCTGCCTAATTACATGCTGCCGACTGTGACTTCCAAAAAAGCCGCCTTTTCCAACCAAAGACTGAAAAAGAGCTCTCCCTGACATCCCACCATTGCATGTTTCAAGTCTTGGTGGCTCATAGGTCACTGACATCCCACATCCCCCGTTCCAGGGCCCCAGGGGCCCGACGTCTGCGTGGCATCCCATTGTTTTCCTAAATTCTCTCCGTTCAGCAGATCCTGCGGGTGCAGAATGCAAGGCCAAAATCTCCCCATGGAGGGATCTGCCATTCTCAGGGGATTGATGGTGGTTCATAGCACCAAAATGCTGACGATTTTTTTTATATCATTTGATCTCAAATGGGGAAATATGATGAAATATCATGATTCACCTGTGGAGTTTAGGGGTATCCCCATATAATTTCTACATATTTCTAGTGTTTGTAACTCCTCAGGTGAAAGCCACATCTTCTTCTCCTGCCGTGCAGCATAGACCACTTGCAGGTGCGCTTCCTGGAGACACCGGCCCAAGATCTGTGGGATTTGGTCCCAAGATCTTCAGACCCGGCTCTCCAGAATGTACCCAATGACTTGACCCCCATTTGAAAGAGGATCAAGGATGAGCATTCATTCATTCATTCATTCATTCATTCCTTCCACAAGCTGCTCGGGTTCGAGCTGAGCGTTGCCCAGCTAAGATGGCTTGCGCCCATATCAAAAGAGAGAAAATTTTGAGCCTAAGGCTGTGTGAAGGTCATCACAGACACAAAAAATTAGGCTTCGACACAGACATATTGGATGATATCGACAAAAGACCTAAAAGTAGACTACCAGCGCCAGCGACCGGACAGAGTTTCCATTTTAACAGCTAAAAAAACAAACACTCTTGAGATGTTGCTGGCAGCAAGAGGCCGAGGACATATACCTTTGACTATTTGGGGGCCATCCCAAAGTCTGGGCCAAGCAACGATCTGGCGAATCTAAATTGTGGACCTAAACCATGATAATCTCGGCTGCTAGATTGCTAGATTGGAGAAACCACCACCAGAAGGTCAACTGGCATCGTCCTCTTCTTCTGTGATGCCCACGGTCATCGTCTACCGCCGGTACCGCCATCGGAGCATTGGGCCAATTTACTGGCGGGATGTGAGGGACGCTGGGAAATAGGAACCCTCCCAGTTGACATGGAAAAGGGCAATGACAAATTCAAAAGGTGCAACGAATTTGGGATCTTCCACTTTGCAATGCTCAATTGCTCTTGAAATACAACAAGGTCATAGACACTGCAAGTTACAAAAAAGATCTGTGAGCAGCTTCTGACTCCGTGACCCAGCTCACTTGCTCGTGGTATTGGGGCCATCGGTTTCTGGTCCATCTGTTACCTACGCTGGAGCCAATGCCAGACAGAATTTGACCCAAACAAGATGGGGAGATTGAGTTCATCGGGAGACACCGAGCTGTTGAAGAACGGCAAGAGGAGGACTGCGTAAATATCATGAGGAAAGCAACCACGACAAAAAACTGTAGGTCTACCGGCAACTTGCCTTTCTCATACGTCGCCCTCAAATGCCCTCAACACTGACCCCTAAGAAAACGGTGGCAAGCCAGTGACACACTTATCCCTCTCAAAAGACATCCAGAACGAAAATGGCTCCAGCCAGTGATTCTCACCGCCCCTTTTCTAGTGAAACAGTGGACGGGAAGAGTCGTCGTTGCCAATCTCAGCGTACCTTGGCAGGAGCGGAGTCTCGTGGCGCACAAGCCATCCTCCGTTCTGCCCCTTGAACTTGAGTTTCTTCAATGCGAGACAATCTCTGCAAATAGACCTAGAACCCAAAACATCCGTAGTCCTTGGAGATTTTGACCCGTAAAATGGCAGGAAAAAACATCCGAAATAGGGGTCATTTCACCTTCAGGATTGTCCAACGAGCCAAGAACTTTAATAGATAGCTCCATAGTAGAGCAACACACTCCAACCATTTGAGTTTCTCCCCAAAAAAAGGAGAAATCAAAAATCGCATTGTTTATCAATTATGATCAATTTATCATCATGTTCCACCTTCAAATTGCCATACATTGTGGACTCCAAATGGTCGTTTTTGGGGCCGCCCTGGCGAAATTCGCACCGAGTCCGCCACACGCTCCGCGGAACGCCATCGCCAAGACGACGGCCAGTGGAGCCTGGCAACACCACAGAAATGATCCCAGGCTATGGCTCAAAAAAGGATCTGGTTATTTGTGCCATAGCCATGGAAAATCACCATTTTTAATAGGTAAACCATCTATTTCTTTGGGCCATTTTCCATGGCTATGTTAAATAAGCAGAGGGTAGTCATCATTTTTGCTAAGGATAATAGTGGGATAATAGTGGGATAATATGGATCGCATGAAAATGAAGCATCGAATTTGCTCGTCACTTAAAGTATTAGACATAAAAATGACATAATCAAATCCTCCAACTAATGAAACTAAAGGGCCCCACAAGATTGGTTGTTCTCGGGATTAAACTAATCATTGAGACTGCAGCAGACTTTTGGGACTTTCCAAAGATGAAACCCAGCGCACCTGTGAGATTTCGCATGGACTGGGCCCATTGACTCCAGGACCCCACTGGCCTGGGACATGAGAAGGGCCCTGGGACCTGCACGGGCACCTCCACTGTGGGGGGTTGGGGATTTCTATCTGCCCATTTTGGGGTCCCATCTTTGGGGTATTTCACAGTGGTGGGAAGAGATGATATGCCCTGCCAACCTTCCAGCATTGGCCAAGTGGCTTCTTCTTTCGTCCGCCCAACAATGACTGGCCGGCGAGCCAGGCGAAGCTTCGAAGCGTCAGCTTTTGGAAGGAGGAATGCACCATGACTGGATGTTCACCCCAGCTAGTAGGTGGTTCATAGCCATTGCTAATCATGTCTACAACCCAGTTGTAAAAAAGAGATACCCAGTTACACATAAGCTATTATCATTATGTATCCACTTACTGCCTAGGATACACCTTGAAGTGACCTCACCTTCATTTGGGGTATAACTGTCCTAACAAAGCTTACCACTTTTGGCCATATCAGCCATGGACATGGGGTTCCAAGTTCAGATTTCAGGGCCATCTGCCTAACTTCCAGGTGTTTTTTCACAAACTAAATAAAATTGAGTATGATGATGATGCCGATAAGAATGAGGATGAGGGTGTTGATGACGCGGGTGATAGTGATGGTGATGCTGATGATGATGATGATGATGATGACGATGACTGACTGACCTTTTTTGACAACGAAATGTGTGCTTTCTGAGAAGGAACAACACCTAAGCTCAACCTTTCTGAGTGCTCCCTGATTCTAATCCTATCAATCCTATGGGGCGATCTGCCGGCGAGTCCAATGGGGGCACCACTTATGGCTTGAATGGCTGCACACCTCCAGGGTATCACCCACAGCTCCCCCAAAAAAATGGCACCTCCCCGGCATGATGGCTGGGAGCTTCGAACATGGGATCTTCGGCCTTGCTGAAAAGTTTACAGGGGGAAACCCCAAAGGTATGGGACTACTTTAGTAGTTCCGAAATTTGGATTCAAGATGTTAATCCCACAAGATCTCAAGGCTGAAACTTCGAAGTCGTCAAAGTTTCAAACTCACGTGGGGATCCCCTGGTGTCAGATTTGTAGGCAAGAGTTATCGAGTGTCCTATCATGCTTCAACAATACCTGCCACGGCAATGACCAGATCCTCTTATCATCGGTGGGGTGCCATTGTGAGGTGGCTAAGGCTTAGCTATGTGAAGGCAAACTCTCAAACCCCCAAAAATGAGACGAGCTTTAAGAAATGAACAAGAAACGAGTTTGTTTTCTTCTCTGTGCATTGATTCATCTTCAGAAAACAAAAGGAATGAAAACAGGGAAAAGACCTATGGTTCCCAAATTTTCTTAGTGAAGCAATAATAAACCCACATAAATTCATGGTTTATACTATAAACACCAGCCATTTCTGCTAAATTGGTGCTGCTTCACTTTGGGGCATCCCCACTGGCAGTTGCAGCTCGTCGGAGACGTTGGGATTGTCCCGATAGGGCGCGGTGGGGGCGAGCGGTGGCATGTACCTCGGTCCACAGGGAGCAGCTTGGGAGGGGCAAGTATCATGCCCAAGAAAAATCAACATCTTTGGGGGGATTCCACCATTTTCTGAGGCTACATATATGTATGTATATATATATATATATATGTATATCATATTATATATATATATATGTATATATATATGTGTATATATATATGTATATATGTATATATGTATATATGTATATATGTATATATGTATATCATATTATATATAGTACCCAAGAGTACCCAATAAAAAGAACGCACTGAAGGCGTTTATCCCAACACCCACAACTCGAGAGCTGGCTTTCCGCACGTCCCACCGCTGAAGTGGCTTGGCTCTGACGGCATGGTAGATGCCTCGCAAGGTTTCGCGCTCAGCGTTTGGCCATCCATTGCTGGGGTATTTTGTTTTTTGGCCAATGGCCCCTTCCTAAGTATTGTATCTGGAGAACTTGACTCTGGAAGTAATCTCATTTTAGACTTCCTTTAGTTTTGTGGGCTGTTTTAGCCAAAGAAAATTCCAGGCCTACTATCTACTGTAGCCTGAGGTCATGCAAGGTCGTCTTGAAGCGTGCTGGGAAGTATATGAAAGTCTATAGTTTGGGGATATCTACATAATGACATATCTACTATGTTTTGGTATATCTAAATACATTATATATATATCAATTATAACATATTATACACATATATCTCTGCCTCATTGGAGATACGTTTTGGGTGTCAGTTTCCCCTTGACCCAGTTGACCTCTGCGAATCCCGGAATCCCAGCTGCGCCTTCGAAGCTGCGCTGCCTCGGTCGTCGATTGGAACGCTCAAATATAGGGATTTTTGTAGTGATATGGATGGGATAGATATGATATATATATATTATATATTATATATATATGATGGATGGGATACCCTCTGGTTATGGCATATCCATGGAATACCTATGGATGGGACATGAGTTATAGATATGCATGGGATACCCTCTGGTTTACAGTGAATGGAACATCAAGAGGATATGAATGGTAGTCACTGGCCTCTGATTATATGGGGATTTTAGAGTGATTCAATGGGATCTGAATGGAATATGCTCTCTGGTAATTGAACAGGTATAGCTCTTGAAAATGGCCCATTTAGTTTGATGATTTGCCTTTTTACAATGGGGATGTGCAATAGTTATGTTGAATTACCAGAGTATAATTGTCATGGTTATATAAAACACATCAAGAAATTTACATGCGAAATATTGTTCGTTCAATCATGATGGGCACCCATCAAATGTTGATTTTTCTTGGACTTTAGGGCCTTGATTTTGACCAACTCAAAGCGATCTGAACGACACATATCCCATCCCAAATTTACTATTTGGATGGAATAAATGAAAAAAACATACCAAACAAAAACATGTTTGGGTGACTTCATGTTTTACTTACATGTATTTACCACATCACATGACTCACTTGCGACACCAAGAATTCTTGGGCCCGGACCAGTAATGAGCAGTTCCCGTCCACGGTGCGCATGGGCGGCCGGCATGGTGACCTCAATAGCAAGGCAAAGGCGGAGCTGTTCAAAAATCTCCCAGAAATATCAGGTGAACCAGGTACCCTCTGGTAAACGTTTACACATTTTATAGCTGGCTAAATCAACTATTTCTGTGGCCATAAATTCAATAGCTTTTTGTAAATGTTTACCAGAGGGTAACCATCATTAACCATTATTAGCCATTATTCACCATCCATTAACCACTATTAACCATCTATTGATGGGCTATCATCCGAGCTTCCAGGATCATCCGGTCGATCCAAAACGGTGGGGAGGCGTGAATTTTCTGTCCACGAAAAGTTGTGTTGGAGTCATCCCCACAACTATTATATATATATATATTATATATATATATACTGATATATATGTTATATATACTGACTGATCTACTCATTGTATCTCACTGATCTAATGACTGGCTATGAAATCATAATATCCAATCCACATGATGTTATGCCAACTGCCTTGATGATTGGCTGTGAAAAACACACGATTGTTGGCATAAAGCCTAGTGTTGCGATGATTTTTATTACTATCATTGTTGCTGCTATGATTGCTGTTATAATTCGTGTTATTGTTACATTGTTAATATCATATTGCAATCAGTATCCTTACAGTATCAAGTTGCTAAATACTGCAAGATGATACACTACAAAGGATAGCAAATGATGTACAGATATTCTCATTACCGTGCGGTATCGTTTCTTGGTTGCACCCCCCGCTGAGAAGAGGGCCGGAGCATGGCTGGGCGCCGAGGGAGCCGGAGCCTGCAGACCCCCCCCTTTTTTGCGCCGTGCAGAAATGTCATGAGAATCCCATGCTACCGCAGATGGGCCAATAGAATTTATGATAATCATTGGATCATCTATATAAATCATTGGATCATCTATATAAATCATTGGATCATCTATGATAATCATTACAACTTACAAATCTATATAAAGCCATAGATTATCCAATGATTTATACATCTTAGATACATCTTATCATACATTCTTCAATCTTAATACTGTAGTCATCACGTCTTTGTTTCGCGGTACATCTCCCGGCAACGCGTTGCCGGGCGCCGCAACGCGCGCCTCCGGGGCCTCTGTCTCCACACCCATGGACCGAAGCACTTCAGAAATGTCCTGCACCAATGACCAAACACGAAACACTACCCTCTGGTAAACGTTTACATAGCTATTGAAAATGGCCCATTTACAGTGGATTTACCCATTGAAAATGTGATTTTACATAGTTATGTAAACGATTACCAGAGGGTAAACACTGATTGAATAGATGTTATCCTTAAAAAAACAAATCAAATCTTGACAATAATGTACAATAATGACAATAACACCAGCCAGGAGTAGGAACTATAATAGTAAAACTAGCAATAACGATAGGAATGCCAGCAGTTTTGACAAAACGGCAATCACAATAACAAGATAACAATAACATCATCATCATCATCATCATCATCGTCCTAATAAATACCAATAACAATCATACAAATCCTTATAGTGACACTAGTAAGAATGATGACATTTATTTGATGGTGACGTCAAAAATAATGCATATATTGTCATGAAGTAAAATAATAATTAAAACCACCAGCATCCTGTGAAAACCATCAAGTAAAAGTAACATAACAATTAAGTCTATCAGTCTATTAAGTATTTGTTATATTACATAAATTAATCATCTTTTACCATGAAATGCCATATTAAAAATACCCAACATAGCTATTGAAAATGGCAACTTAGTTCGTTGATCTGCCCTTTAAACATGGTGATTTCCCAGTTCGTTATGTTAAATTACCAGAGGGTAACCATCATTAAACATCATTATATACCATCATTAACTATCATTGACCATCATTAACCATCATTAACCATTATTAACTATCATTAACCATCATTAATCTATATTGATCTCATTGAAATTGAACATCCCAAGGTGACGAACATCCCACTATTGGATGATTAACCATCATTAACCATAATTCACCATCATAATTAACCATTATGATCCATTATTCACCATCCATTCACCACTATTAACCATCATTAATCATCATTAACAATCATTAACCATAAAAAAATCCTTAAAAATCCATTTGAAAAAAAAAAACATGCATCATTAATCATCATTATATCACTTATATCTATGAACCCATGGTATATAACCATCATCTATGATTCAGCATCCTCACCAAGCCCACCTTTTCGGGTCTCACCGCACCTCCACTAAGGTGATCAGCTCTTCCAACTCCGCAGGGTCAAAGTCGCGTCCGTCCTCCAAGGCCTGGCGAATGTGACTCGAATAGGGGAGATCTTTGGCATGTGAAAGTAGATATTAATATAATACACAGTTATATAATATATATATATACATATAGAAAGATATATAGATAGGGATAGATATAGATATGATGTGTATATGATATTTAATATATAATATATTAATCATATAATACCTGAATATACACAGTAATATCAAGTAAGCATCATAGGATTGTATAGCGAAAAACGAGGATGGGATATGACGCCAGTAGTGACCCAGGTCCAGGGAACGTCCTGCACCAGCTGCTCTACACGCTCTTTGGCATCTTCACGAGCGACCACCAGGCGCACCACTTCCTGGCGAACAACGGGCAGCTTCAACGATCCCAACTTTTTGCTGGGGATGCTTCAATATTTCCATGTTGCTGTCGATATTCAACCTATAACTAACAATATCCGCCGACCCCGGCAGACGCAAGGGGGAGCGCGCCAGGGATAAGATATATAGCAGCTAGTAGGCATACGTATATAGATCAGAAGGGATGATGGTCGTCATATGTATATGATTAGGCATCATCAGCAGACGCAGCAGCTAGCCTCAAAATATACAGGCATAGATTAATCAGCAATCAGTGTGCAGTTAAATACCTCAGAAATCGGGAAATAGAACCTGCCCCCACAGTAATAATCAAGTAAGCATCATTTCTGTAGGAAAACGATTTTGGACCCATATGGCCCACAGCAATGGCTTGTAATTCCAGTGGGCAGTCAAAGTCCAGCTAGCAGCCAAAAACGATTTTGGATGGGATATTTTGGACGCCAGTAGTGCACCTTGCAGGTCCAGCAGGAACGTGGGCACCAGCTGCTCATACACGCTCTTTGGCATCTTCACGAGCGACCACCAGGCGCACCACTTCCTGGCGACTCACAACGGGCAGCTTCAAGAATAGATGTGTATAATTGTATATCTCTACTTGTGTGTATATATATATATGTATGTATGTATGTATGTATGTATGTATGTATGTATGTACCGTAACGTATGTATGTATGTACTTATTGCACGCTGGGGATGTGCTTCAATATTTCCATGTTGCTGTCGATATTCTGTATACTACTTATATAATTGTATATCTCTACTTATATATATATATATTTTTTCATGTATGTATGTATGCATGCATGTATGCATGTATGCATGGATGTATGTATGTATGTATGTATGTATGTATGGATGGATGTATGCATGTATGCATGTATGCATGGATGTATGCATGGATGTGTGCATGGATGTATGCATGGATGTATGCTCTACTTGTGTATATATATATATGTATGTATATATATATATGTATGTATGTATGTATGTATGTATGTATGTATGTATGTATGTATGTATGTATGTATGTATGTGTGTATGTATATATATAAGGCCGCAGCAGCAGAACGTCCTTGAGCCTCACAGGAAAAATATATGTATGTATGGATGTATGTATGTATGTATGGATGTATTCCTGACACGAAGGAACCCAACAAACCACCCCTTCTCCACAAAGCGTCACAAACCTCCTCGGACTCCGCCGACCGCGCCGGCGCCGCCGCCGCGGGCGCGGGCGCGGGCGCCGGTAGGGTGGCGCTGCACTTGCGCCGGCCAGGTAGGCAGGGCCTTTGGAACGAAAATTGGTGGAGTCACATTTTACGGGGATTTAAATCCGCCATTTTTGGGGAGTTTCGTATTATTCCTTTTGGATTTAATCCACCATTTAGATTTGGTGATTTTCTGCATTTGAAACAACCAAACTGGGATTTGTTGCAGAAACATAAGCTTTTTTAAAGCTTCAAAATGTGCTTTTTGTTGCCAGGGACGTCTCGATGTTAGCAACAAAAATGGTGGATGTGAAATGATTTGAACCAAGGGTCACTTGAACCCAACTATCCAAGTGTACAAATCCCTGTCAGGTGTCACCTCCACTGGTGGCCAACCCACCCATCGTGTCACCGCATCCGTGTCAGCCTGGGAACAGGTGGCAAAAAGGATGATCCCACATGGGCTGGGCGCGCTTTCCAGTTTTCCAGATTCGAGACTTGCAAGAAGAATCCTTGTCAGCTACTGGGCCTGGGAATAACCAAACTAGATGGTGCACAATCTCCAGATCCCCTGCAAGCTTAGCCCAGAAACTGCAACTCCAGTGGAGGATCCGGAAATTCGTAGCCCTCCTGTCTCAGCTGCACCTGTGCTTAAAAATCCACCGCGTTCCGCAGATTTGCAGATGGACATCTGAGAGATGGGTGTTTTTCACCGAACGTATCCATGGTTCCATCGGTTCCATGGTCCACTGTGGGAATCCACAAATCCACCTGGAAGTCATCCCCAGGTGGTGACCTCTTTCAGGTTGCTGAACCATGATGGAATGAACTATTATTGGGGTAATTACCGAACCTCCTTACTAGCAACCCCCACGCTCTTTGATTGGGGAAGTTTGAAGTTTACCACGTTAGCAGCACATTACAGCTCTTTGTTGGGTGAAACCACTGATTGATCAACCAGGTTTATTAATCTGGGGTTGACATTGTGTGAAACCACCCCCATTTCATCTGCCAGCATTTCTGATTTGAGAATTGTCTTAGTTTTCTGACATTCTGAAGTGTTAGATCATCTACCTGATACCCATGATCTCTTTTCAGGTTCGTGCAATTTGGGAGGGTGACGTCCTGTATATTTGCCACTTCACGGGCGCACGCAGAGAAGATAGGCCTCAGGGCACCCTCATGCCTCGGGAGAGGACCATGCTAAAAACCTGCATGGAAGAACAGGGGGCTGGTGCACAGATGTTGTGCTGGATAGGCTTACCTCAACTAATGTTCAAAAGGCGGGTAGTTGTAGTCTCCCTAACCATCAAATGGTGCCGAGAAGCCAGGTCAAGGTCAAAATGGCACAAATCTGGGATACCCATACTCAGATCACACAGTGGCAGTGGTCTCAGAAGAACCTATCCCTGTGACTGAAGACCACATCTCTAGTTTCAACACCTGCACATGCCCTGCTCCTCAGTCACAGTTGGGTTTGTCGGAAAAGTATGTGCACCCCACTTTCGGGAAATTCCAATATAGTGCAATGGAAAAAAATGAAGGACCGGATAACCCCACATGTCAACTTCTTTCAAGAAGCACAAAACATGTGTCGAAGGCAGGAAAGATCAAGGAGATGGTGGAAGACAGATTGTGTGAAAGAGCTGGGTGTGACAGAGTTGTATGTGAAAGAGTGGTATGGAAGAAAGTTGTGTGCGAAAGATTTGTATGTGTGACAGGGATGCGTGTGTGTGTGAAAGAGTTATGTGTGACAGAGTTGTGTGTGAAAGAGTTTATGGCACCAAATGCTACGTCTGCCATGAAGACGACCACGGGGTCACTGGCGACCAAGCGCGCCACCGGAGCCAGTCCAGTGCCACAAGTGCCACGCCTGCCACACAAAAGCACCGCAGTGCCACCAAGTGCCACAATGTTGTGTGTGTGTGTGTGACAGAGCGGGCGGGGCGGGACGGACGGTAGACCGGAGTGCACAACAGAAAAAACAAGAACCCCACACACAAAGATGTCGGGAAAAAAAACATGATAATCCCCCATTACCTATAGTTATATCTACCATAAACCATAGTTAAGCCACTCATATCTCAACTGAACGCGAGCTCGAACGGTGGCCCCATCCTGTTGGGATTGTGGATATCTCATTTTCAGACCCCAGATCTAAGGACGCCGAGGACTGGGCATCAGAAAAGCGTCCACAATCAACTGCATGATCTCCAGAACCTCCAGAACACTTTGCGAAGTGGAAAATCCACCATTTTGAACAGGTAAATCAACGAACTCAATGGGGTATGTTCAATAGCTATGTGAAAAATTACCTGAGGCTAAATGGTGTCAAATTGATATGGGTTGTTTCAAAATGTGGTTCTAAAAATTTGATCATCGCTTTCTACATCAAAAGTGCTATCTCATGGGTGTACCCCCAAATTTCACACAAACTCAGATGTTAGATTGTTGGTTATATTCCACCAAATCCCAATTATGTGTATGTATATATATAACATATATATATATGTGTGTGTATCCCAGGAAGTCCCTATTGTTGATGGTAAAACTTCTCGCAAAGCACGACAGTTGCCTGACCCTAAACCCCACTCCGGAGCAACGGACCACGGACCGCCTTCTGTGATGCTGCCGTGCTGACGCTTGTCCTAGCCAGGAGATCCCTGGAGAAAAAAAAACGTCCTGTTGGTGGAGTTGCAAGACCATGGATAAAACAACCAGATTTCTTTGGTGAAGTTGGTGCTGGTGCTTTAGAGTCACCGTCCTAGTGTCAAATTGCTGCTTACTACACTAATTTATATAATCCTAGAAGGAACAGCAATTATCTCAAACACCTATAGACATACTCTGCTCATGCTTTTGTGGTTTGAACCACTGACCATGACCTATATCTTTATGAGGCCATTGCCTTTATCAATCATGATTTACTGAACAAAAATGTCATTCAATGGTATAATTCTGTCCAATTATACATATACATCTCTACATATCTATACAATATACCTATATAAACATGACCAAAAAACACTACTGGGCATGGCTGATTCCTACTGGGCCATTTCCGAGCTGATCGGCCTCGCCGATGGCTACGCCGTACTCCGAGAGCCTAAAGGTAGAAAGACCCGGGTTATAATGAGGATATTCTGTGTATGTTTATTTATATATATATATATACAGTACGTACATAATTTAATATAATGATATGATATACCCAATAGAATAATTAAAAGATTTGAGGAACTTAGCGAACTGGGGTAAATCATCATCTTTATCATCTATGGGCCATTTTCAACAGACATTGAATTTTTCCAGAGGAACTGGGCGCCCACACCCCGACTTGTGCATGCGCCCGAAGCCATACCTACACAATAGCATGGGTCAGTTTTTTCATCAGACATAACCAGGCCCGTTACATTACTGACAATGGCTGTTGCAACCCAAAAGAGGCCGGCCTGTTTGGAGCCACAAAATTGGCTGTGCATTTTAGTATATATTTCGCACGGTACCAGAAATAAACTGATCGTTTTTATGATTTACCATCCAGAGTTTGGGGTACCCAGTTTTGACCCAAAACATGTAGTCATCAAGACTCACGAAGGAGAATCAAGTTGGAATCAACCACCACACAAGGAGGATGTTTGATCAACCACCATTAACCACCCAAGTTGGGAACAATTGCCCAAGGGTTGCAGAACCAAGAAGTGCCTCTAATTTTGCAAAGCAACAAGAGAGAAATTCAGTTGATTCATCCCACCTCGAGGGGAAAATTCCGAAGCTTTTACAACCATCGATGCATCCCCGATGAGGCTTTCCCGAAGTCATGGCTAACCCAAAATGGATAGTTTATATATGTTTATATGGGGATGGGTCAAAACCCTGGTACCTAGTGAACCCCAAAATAGCTGGTAAATGGATGTTCATCCCACTAAAAATGTATCTATAGGTATTGACCCATACCCATATGGAAAATCCGATCAAAATGGATGGGGGTACCCCCAGAAAAACCTCCGGATTTCATCCCCAATGGCTACCAACTTGGCCTCTCCGAATTTCGGCACGGTCCGTGCCATGGTATGTCGGGTCCGTGGAAAAAAACATATCGAGGTGATGGAGTTGCACTGATTCACTCGGTCCGGAGACCTCCAACTCTCTTTCTTCTTCACTATGCCCACCAAAGTTTCCGCTACTCCTCAGCGCCGAAAGAACCTGGTCTTTAAAAAAACTTCGGAGGGGTTACTCGATCCCAAACTTGCCACTCAGTAATATTAGACTTGTGTTGAATAAGCTGATGAACTGCTGCCGTCGAAGTCCTAGAGAGCTGGATTTCTGACAAGAAATATGTTTGGACATGGGTCAAGCTTGGGATACAGACTCTGCTAATTGAACAGTTTGCTATGCAAAATTGCCAATTTAATTTAAAGATGATTTACAATAGCTATTTACCAAGTCTTGGCGATGTTCCAGGGCGACGTTGCATCGCCACAAAGTATCTGAAGGTTGCATGTTCTTGGACTCCAAAATGATCAGTCCATCTGTGGCACACCATCAGCATTGATTGATCAAATCATCATATTGATGCCTCCATGCAGTGTTGCCCTAAAAGGTCTGCTGGTTACCTACCTCATCTATTGTGTGTGTGGATCTTCATCATGGTTATCCCCTACCCGACCTCCCTGCTCCCAATTCTGTCCTTCGTTGATGGCTCTGCAAATCACCATGCCACAATTCTTCACCAACATCTGCGGGCCGACTCAAAGTGCAGTTGCCGTCTGTTGCCGTCTGTTGCCGTCTGTTGCCGTCTGTTGCTTGTTGGACGGTCATCGTTCCATTACACCAGTCGGTTTGATCGGGAGTCCCAGTTCGTGGATGATAATCTATACATAAAATTACAGAATAAGTATATGTTTATATGAAAGGATAGTATAACCCCGTAACCAATCATTAACCAGCAAGGCTTTTGAACACTGCTCAAATGGAAAGCAATGGCGGCCATTTCATGGCCGGGAGATTGTCAGCCGGGACCACAGAGTCCCGTGGGCTGGTACCGCATTTCTTGAGGGTCCCATATGGCGAAAAATCCATGGCTTCAACTTCGTACCGAATTCTTTTTCGCCATACACCCAAAAACACCCATGGATTTATTTTTGCGGATTATTTTTTTTTGATTTCTGCTGCTGTTTCCCTATGGAAAAATGGCTTGAGTCATGGCTTGGTCCAGGGGTCCAGTTCTATCGCCTCCAACAAACTCAATGCCAACATTACGGCGCTGGGTTTGTCATGACCTGGCGGCGAGCTGGCGCCGATGGCGCCTCTGGATGGGATCAAAAAAAAATGGCTCTGGCAAGCAGTTGATGGATGAAATCCGTTGAATTAAAACATTGAACTAGACCTCATGTCACGATGATTTCGGAGTGGACTGTTCAGGTCACAAGTCAACTTTACAGGCTGTGTGGTGGGTGTGGGGTAGTGAAAAATAAACCAGTTTTACCAGAAATGAATGGTTGAACCCATCCCCATTCAAGGTCCATTGTTGGGTTTACCACACTAGAATTCATATTTGGGTTTGTCTACTGATTAATCATCTTTTCCTAGCTAGTTTTAATATATATAATATATATATATATATATATAATTATATATATATGGTATTGCCATTTTGGGGGTACACCCTGGTTTCAGATTTCACCAGTGATGTCCATCACTTCCTCTCATCCCAACCGTTCCACATTAGCCCGCTACGCAATCGCTCGTCGATGCGGGTGATCGCCAAGGGCGCCAGGTATTGATTGTCCTGCGGCGACGGGTACAACCAACCAAAATTGGGAATGCCATGAATTCTAGGACAGCAAACCAGCAAACGGACCAGTTGGCCCAGTTGGATTTCATATGGATGGAACGCACTGGAAGCCCTGCATGACCGGGCTTAAAATTGTGGTAGCAGTGGACAAACTTAGTCACTGGAAACATAGAGTTGGGGATGAGAATTTTGAGCCATGGCCATTCTGGACACTAGAAAGTTGCCACTGATCAAGTGGGAGGTTCTAAGTGGTAACTCAGCCTCAGCAAGCCAGGATTCTGGTGATTCATAGGCTGATGTATACGTCAATCCCATTTCTGCCAATCCACCTAGGCCTTGTCTACCAAGTAGGAATCTCAACACTCCCAAGACAGGTAAGAGTTATTTGGTGGTCCCAAAAAAAACAGGCACTAATCCTTTTGTATCCTTTCGTCACAGTTTTGTTAAGAATAAATACCAGGATATATAATGGGAACGTTTTTTTCGCATCACCATTGTTGCTGGTCAATTCCGGACTACTGTTAGATACATCACCTGTACTGCTGGAATATCCCACTCAGCCTTGATGGTGTCGCAAATCTGTACGTTCACGGCCTTGGGTTTTGGGGCTGAGCCGGGCAATTTTCCCTTGGAAATGACCGTCGCATGTTTTGATCTGGCGCAATTTTTCCTCCATGTAGCTGAAATGAAGCACTTCACCAAAGCGAGGTTCAAAGGGATTTCTCCACCATTTTGCTATGATCTCACCATCACCAGGGCTGATTCCTGATGAGAAGAACCAGCGGTTTTCAAGCCACGGTATCTGCAAAAATCCCGTTGCATCAACTGGGGCCCCATAGCCCACTCTATGGTGCTGGAGCGCAAAGCTACCGCCAACAATGTGTCCAACTGGCGGATGGGTGGGATAGCCTAACTGATGGAAAATCACAGCTTTTTTCTGCGGAAAATGAGATGTGTAATGCTGCATTTCTATGTTTGTCCGTCATCCATTCAACTGGGGTTCTCGCACGGCCACCAATTTATGCCACAACTGGAATCGTTCACCTTGCCTGAAATCACCGAGGTTTGCTATGTGTTGGATTCTTTTGGTATGTTGGACCTATGAGATGCCAAAAAACAGTGCTACGATCTGCTATGATTGCTATGTATACATTATATATATATACACATACATACATATCCCAGCGATTTTCCGGCTGAGATCACCCATCAAAACACGTTCCGCCACTTCGCCCCACCTCTCGGCTTGTCATGAAACCATGGCTCGCTCAGGCACCTGCAGAGGTAGACCGAGTATCATCCTGCCCCGGTTGCCATGTCCTCATGTGTATGTGTATCGTATTGAATCCAAGAAAGAACCAGGAATCCTATGAAAAATCCCAGAAATTGCAACCGATTCCCTGATTCTTGGAGGTACCGAGTCGAACCCCGAAGCCTGGCCTCGAGACAATTCCATGGCCCATCAAATGTGGCCAGGATGGACGGGGTGTCCCCAAATTGGGAAACCAGAAGGGTACGTTAGTGGCATATCGTCTATTTCTTTTTCTGGTATTGGGGTTGTACTCCGGTAGCCATGTCTCAGAGACAAACAGCCGAAATCGTGGAGGTAGTCTTCTGGCTGCCAGAATCTGCCACTACGATGTCGTCTTCGAACCAGCTGATGCGGGGAGCTGTTTGCAGCTATTGCCATAGGGTCCATGCTGCCATGTCCCACGTCACAGTGATTGCCTTAATCCAAAGCTCAAGGACTCAAGGAGCAGAAAATTCTTGAAAGCCACTAGCATCACCAGCAAGCCGTGGATGTGCAACTCTGAAGTGATACGTGTTCTCCGAATCTGATCTGGGCAAAGTCTAAATCTAAACTGTCATAAACATGTGAAGTAATCTCATGTTCAAAAACGATGTCCCACATCAACCATCCATTGGACCAACTTTTATGGTTCCTGTCAAAGTTCGGTTGGTAACTGGCCGACCATTGAACATCACCCAACCATTAAGTGGGGATGGGTCAAAACCTTGTACCCCTGGTGAACATCAAAATAGCTGGTAAATGGATGTTCATCCCACTAAAAATGGTATTAATAGGTATTGATCCATACCCAAGTGGCTATCATCACTCCCTTTTTGTGTCTGTCTTCTTTCCCACCGACAGCGGAAAGCCCCGATTTTGCCATCTCACACGGAGAGCGCGTTGAGATCTTCCAGACCCGTTTGGAGTTCACCAAAGACACGGGCTTTCAGGTTTCCTGAGAAGGCCCGATCCCAAGAGAATTTGGAAAGCCATGGGCGCCAACCAGAATGTTGATATTAATGTTAAATATTAATGTTACATTGATATAGTATAAGTTGATATATGTTGATATAATTGTCATGCTTTCATAGTGAATATATGTTGATATAATATATTATAATATATAGCGTGATGCGTAACAGCAGCTGTAACATATACCAATATTACCTAAATCAAGGGATGTTTTTTCGCGATATGAATAAGATGTTACCGACATATTTCTTGGGCAAAATGTTCAAAAAATGGTGATTTACCCCCAATGAATTGCACCAAATCAATGGCTAATCTGATGCTTGGATGATGCGACTGGTTTATCCGATACAGACCATCCCTTTCGGCTTGATGCGACTTGGTTTTTCAGTTTCTCAGGGCAGACCACGAATCAAAAAAAAAACAAGTGGGGCCAAGCGTTTGGAAGATTTACAATGGTCTGTAGGCAGCAAATCCCTTGGAAGGCTGGTCAAATCTAATAGAAAGTCAACAGTTCAGTCACCAGTCAGCAGTATTTGCTGAGAACACATCCCACCGACCAGGATGGATCAAATGCCCAAGCATCGCAGAAATCCTCGGTCCTTAAAGATTGCGACCGTCTTGTTTCGAGTGAAAACAAGTGAAAACCCTGAGACTTTGGTGGTTTGAAGCCAAAATGTGGCTGGTCAATGGTTGCCACAAGGCCCCAAAGATGGTTACGGCGGCATGGCGTTGTCACAGCCATGGCCATTCTGGACACTAGAAAGTTGCCACTGATCAAGTGGGAGGTTCTAAGTGGTAACTCAGCCTCAGCAAGCCAGGATTCTGGTGATTCATAGGCTGATGTATACGTCAATCCCATTTCTGCCAATCCACCTAGGCCTTGTCTACCAAGTAGGAATCTCAACACTCCCAAGACAGGTAAGAGTTATTTGGTGGTCCCAAAAAAAACAGGCACTAATCCTTTTGTATCCTTTCGTCATAGTTTTGTTAAGAATAAATACCAGGATATATAATGGGAACGTTTTTTTCGCATCACCATTGTTGCTGGTCAATTCCGGACTACTGTTAGATACATCACCTGTACTGCTGGAATATCCCACTCAGCCTTGATGGTGTCGCAAATCTGTACGTTCACGGCCTTGGGTTTTGGGGCTGAGCCGGGCAATTTTCCCTTGGAAATGACCGTCGCATGTTTTGATCTGGCGCAATTTTTCCTCCATGTAGCTGAAATGAAGCACTTCACCAAAGCGAGGTTCAAAGGGATTTCTCCACCATTTTGCTATGATCTCACCATCACCAGGGCTGATTCCTGATGAGAAGAACCAGCGGTTTTCAAGCCACGGTATCTGCAAAAATCCCGTTGCATCAACTGGGGCCCCATAGCCCACTCTATGGTGCTGGAGCGCAAAGCTACCGCCAACAATGTGTCCAACTGGCGGATGGGTGGGATAGCCTAACTGATGGAAATTCACAGCTTTTTTCTGCGGAAAATGAGATGTGTAATGCTGCATTTCTATGTTTGTCCGTCATCCATTCAACTGGGGTTCTCGCATGGCCACCAATTTATGCCACAACTGGAATCGTTCACCTTGCCTGAAATCACCGAGGTTTGCTATGTGTTGGATTCTTTTGGTATGTTGGACCTATGAGATGCCAAAAAACAGTGCTACGATCTGCTATGATTGCTATGTATACATTATATATATATACACATACATACATATCCCAGCGATTTTCCGGCTGAGATCACCCATCAAAACACGTTTCGCCGCTTCGCCCCACCTCTCGGCTTGTCATGAAACCATGGCTCGCTCAGGCACCTGCAGAGGTAGACCGAGTATCATCCTGCCCTGGTTGGCATGTCCTCATGTGTATGTGTATCGTATTGAATCCAAGAAAGAACCAGGATTTTTTATGAAAAATCCCAGAAATTGCAACCGATTCCCCCGGCCTCGAGACAATTCCATGGCCCATCAAATGTGGCCAGGATGGACGGGGTGTCCCCAAATTGGGAAACCAGAAGGGTACGTTAGTGGCATATCGTCTATTTCTTTTTCTGGTATTGGGGTTGTACTCCGGTAGCCATGTCTCAGAGACAGCAGAAATCGTGGAGGTAGTCTTCTGGCTGCCAGAATCTGCCACTACGATGTCGTCTTCGAACCAGCTGATGCGGGGAGCTGTTTGCAGCTATTGCCATAGGGTCCATGCTGCCATGTCCCACGTCACAGTGATTGCCTTAATCCAAAGCTCAAGGACTCAAGGAGCAGAAAATTCTTGAAAGCCACTAGCATCACCAGCAAGCCGTGGATGTGCAACTCTGAAGTGATACGTGTTCTCCGAATCTGATCTGGGCAAAGTCTAAATCTAAACTGTCATAAACATGTGAAGTAATCTCATGTTCAAAAACGATGTCCCACATCAACCATCCATTGGACCAACTTTTATGGTTCCTGTCAAAGTTCGGTTGGTAACTGGCCGACCATTGAACATCACCCAACCATTAAGTGGGGATGGGTCAAAACCTTGTACCCCTGGTGAACATCAAAATAGCTGGTAAATGGATGTTCATCCCACTAAAAATGGTATTAATAGGTATTGATCCATACCCAAGTGGCTATCATCACTCCCTTTTTGTGTCTGTCTTCTTTCCCACCGACAGCGGAAAGCCCCGATTTTGCCATCTCACACGGAGAGCGCGTTGAGATCTTCCAGACCCGTTTGGAGTTCACCAAAGACACGGGCTTTCAGGTTTCCTGAGAAGGCCCGATCCCAAGAGAATTTGGAAAGCCATGGGCGCCAACCAGAATGTTGATATTAATGTTAAATATTAATGTTACATTGATATAGTATAAGTTGATATATGTTGATATAATTGTCATGCTTTCATAGTGAATATATGTTGATATAATATATTATAATATATAGCGTGATGCGTAACAGCAGCTGTAACATATACCAATATTACCTAAATCAAGGGATGTTTTTTCGCGATATGAATAAGATGTTACCGACATATTTCTTGGGCAAAATGTTCAAAAAATGGTGATTTACCCCCAATGAATTGCACCAAATCAATGGCTAATCTGATGCTTGGATGATGCGACTGGTTTATCCGATACAGACCATCCCTTTCGGCTTGATGCGACTTGGTTTTTCAGTTTCTCAGGGCAGACCACGAATCAAAAAAAAAACAAGTGGGGCCAAGCGTTTGGAAGATTTACAATGGTCTGTAGGCAGCAAATCCCTTGGAAGGCTGGTCAAATCTAATAGAAAGTCAACAGTTCAGTCACCAGTCAGCAGTATTTGCTGAGAACACATCCCACCGACCAGGATGGATCAAATGCCCAAGCATCGCAGAAATCCTCGGTCCTTAAAGATTGCGACCGTCTTGTTTCGAGTGAAAACAAGTGAAAACCCTGAGACTTTGGTGGTTTGAAGCCAAAATGTGGCTGGTCAATGGTTGCCACAAGGCCCCAAAGATGGTTACGGCGGCATGGCGTTGTCACACCTTCCTTGTCTTAGCTCACACCGGGGATGGCGGCGCTGAGGAATTTAGCTTTTTGGCCTGTTCAGAGATGTTGATGATGTTGATATTTATGTTCACGGTACCTTTTGCATGGGGTGGGGTGGGGGGTGGCGGGTAGGGTGGGGTAGGGCTAATAACGTGCAATCGTCTGCGATCTTTGATTCTCCATCTTGCGTTTTTATAGTAATTACCAACACGCTCTTGCTTCTACGCTATGAACAGAAGAACAGTTTAACACGCTCGTGATGTTATGCTGTTGCACTTCCTATAGTAATGTCCAACACGCTCTTCCTTCTACGCTATGAACAGAAGAACAGATTAACACGCTCGTGATGTTATGCTGTTGCACTTCCTATTGTAAATTCCAACACGCTCTTGCTTCTACGCTATGAACATGAGAACATTTCCTCCAAGACGATCTTGCTTTTACGCTATGAACAGAAGAACAGTTTAACACGCTCGTGATGTTATGCTGTTGCGCTTCCTATTGTAAATTCCAACACGCTCTTGCTTCTACGCTATGAACATGAGAACATTTCCTCCAAGACGATCTTGCTTTTACGCTATGAACAGAAGAACAGTTTAACACGCTCGTGATGTTATGCTGTTGCGCTTCCTATTGTAAATTCCAACACGCTCTTGCTTCTACGCTATGAACATGAGAACATTTCCTCCAAGACGCTCTTGCTTTTGCGCTATGACCGCTATGAACAGAAGAACAGTTTAACACGCTGGTGGTGTTATGCTGTTGCACTTCCTATTGTAAATTCCAACACGCTCTTGCTTCTACGCTATGAACATGAGAACATTTCCTCCAAGACGATCTTGCTTTTACGCTATGAACAGAAGAACAGTTTAACACGCTCGTGATGTTATGCTGTTGCACTTCCTATTGTAAATTCCAACACGCTCTTGCTTCTACGCTATGAACATGAGAACATTTCCTCCAAGACGATCTTGCTTTTACGCTATGAACAGAAGAACAGTTTAACACGCTCGTGATGTTATGCTGTTGCGCTTCCTATTGTAAATTCCAACACGCTCTTGCTTCTACGCTATGAACATGAGAACATTTCCTCCAAGACGCTCTTGCTTTTGCGCTATGACCGCTATGAACAGAAGAACAGTTTAACACGCTGGTGGTGTTATGCTGTTGCACTTCCTATTGTAAATTCCAACACGCTCTTGCTTCTACGCTATGAACATGAGAACATTTCCTCCAAGACGATCTTGCTTTTACGCTATGAACAGAAGAACAGTTTAACACGCTCGTGATGTTATGCTGTTGCACTTCCTATTGTAAATTCCAACACGCTCTTGCTTCTACGCTATGAACATGAGAACATTTCCTCCAAGACGATCTTGCTTTTACGCTATGAACAGAAGAACAGTTCAACACGCTCGTGATGTTATGCTGTTGCACTTCCTATTGTAAATTCCAACACGCTCTTGATTCTTGACATAATGACTATTGCGTGCGAAGCTGGAAAAACACCAGCGCCACTATCCCCAGCGAGACCTTGTTTTAGAACCCTTGACAACTGTTCACAGGCACACTTTTTGACTCAAACCAGAGTCAGACTTTGGTCCACGGGAATCGTCCAGGTTTCTCTCCAAACCCCAAGGGCTCAAGACCCTCACCCAGCGTCGTAGGGGTTGCGATACTCACCCTTCTCATCCAGTAGATAAGGCAAGGGCCTCAGAGTCCCATAGTCCCATATAGTCCCATATAGTCCCATATAGTCCCATATAGTCCCATATAGTCCCATATAGTTCCATATAGTCCCATATAGTCCCATATAGTTCCATATAGTTCCATATAGTTCCATATAGTTCCATATAGTTCCATATAGTTCCATATAGTCCCATATAGTCCCATATAGTCCCATATAGTCCCATATAGTCCCATATAGTTCCATATAGTCCCATATAGTCCCATATAGTCCCATATAGTCCCATATAGTCCCATATAGTTCCATATAGTCCCATATAGTCCCATATAGTCCCATATAGTCCCATATAGTCCCATATAGTCCCATATAGTTCCATATAGTCCCATATAGTCCCATATAGTTCCATATAGTTCCATATAGTCCCATATAGTTCCATATAGTTCCATATAGTTCCATATAGTTCCATATAGTTCCATATAGTCCCATAGTCCCATATAGTCCCATATAGTCCCATATAGTTCCATATAGTTCCATATAGTCCCATATAGTTCCATATAGTTCCATATAGTTCCATATAGTTCCATATAGTTCCATATAGTTCCATATAGTCCCATATAGTTCCATATAGTTCCATATAGTCCCATATAGTTCCATATAGTTCCATATAGTTCCATATAGTTCCATATAGTTCCATATAGTTCCATATAGTTCCATATAGTCCCATATAGTCCCATATAGTTCCATATAGTTCCATATAGTCCCATATAGTCCCATATAGTTCCATATAGTTCCATATAGTCCCATATAGTTCCATATAGTTCCATATAGTTCCATATAGTTCCAAATAGTTCCATATAGTCCCATATAGTTCCATATAGTTCCATATAGTTCCATATAGTTCCATATAGTTCCATATAGTTCCATATAGTTCCATATAGTTCCATATAGTTCCATATAGTCCCATATAGTCCCATATAGTTCCATATAGTTCCATATAGTCCCATATAGTTCCATATAGTTCCATATAGTTCCATATAGTTCCATATAGTTCCATATAGTTCCATATAGTTCCATATAGTTCCATATAGTTCCATATAGTCCCATATAGTCCCATATAGTTCCATATAGTTCCATATAGTCCCATATAGTTTCATATAGTTCCATATAGTTCCATATAGTTCCATATAGTTCCATATAGTTCCATATAGTCCCATATAGTCCCATATAGTTCCATATAGTTCCATATAGTCCCATATAGTTCCATATAGTTCCATATAGTTCCATATAGTCCCATGCCCATGTTCGGTGACCATTCCTGTTCCATGGTTGATGGCTGGTGCTGATGTTCATCACTCATCAAAGATGGTCCGGCCACCGATGGGCCTCCCCCGGCTGATCTGAAGCATCTCCCAAGTGGTCAAAGCAAAGGCCTGAGAACGACAGTCCGCACAGGAGACTCGGTCCGGGGTCACGTTCACGGGCAGAATGGGCAGAGGTAACAAACATTTGCTCTGACTTTCACCGATTCAGCTGCCTTGGTATGACCGATTCAGTTGACACGTGTGTTTCTTTGTTGGGGAAACACACAACACGGCTGGGTGTCCCCTACTAAACTGGCTGGTAGATTATTGCAGTCGCCAACTTGTGTACAAGGCCGAAGCAAAGGCATATCCTTCCACTCCCCCGGGGAACAAAAATCATCTGCAGGGCTACTCGATTGAACTATGCCCCGGCCAATAAGCAAAGTTCAAGCCGCAGCAAGTGCCAAATGGAAGAGCAACACAGCTCCCACAAGCAACGCAAGCATCGCGAAGAAGCACAAAATTCCTGCAGCAAGGGTGGGCGTTGCATGTAAGGTTGTGAAGCTGTGAATTGGGAATGTATAGCTAGATACAGTCGTTACATCCAGTATCGGAGCCAGCAGCGATGCCACTGGACAAAAGTACAAGCCCAACAAATGTGTTGCAATGACTTTTCTGAAAACATTCCAAGACCTTAGCAATTCCAGAAGCATCTTGTGTGATTCAAGAAAGACAGCCTTCAATGCAGGAGTCAGTCTCCCGCATTAGATGCCACTAGTAATTCAAATCTCTCGTCTTGGACAGTTTAAATCATGTCATTTGTCTGAAATTGTGACCCCGTTTCGTTGAGCTTGGTGTTTTTTGTAGGTCTCCATAGGGCGTCTGAAAATAACCCAAAAATCCAGGGGTTAAGCATCTTTTTCCCCCCCCGGCGGCCGTCCTGGAAGCACATCACTAATTGCCCCTAAAATTGGGGCAAAGGTACCAAACCCAAATTGGACATAGTTAGTTGTCCCGATTACTGGTGCAGTTCCAGTTGGGTCCCACATCCCAACTGCTGGAGGTGATTCCCATAGTTCCCAGTTGTTCAACCCAAACTGCACCTCCACCCTATCATATCCCGGAACCTGATGAAAACCACCTTTTCGCCACATTTCCTCCAGCCCCGTCGTCGCCTGTCCGCCCCTGTTGAGCTGCAGCCAGCACCAAGGAGACACAGCAGAGGAAGGCGGAGGAGACACAGCCGAAGAAGGCCCCGTAGTTGCCTGGCACCAGCAAACGTGGGAGTTTAACAAACTAAAATTTTGAAAAAAAAAACGGATGGTCAAAAAAAAATGAAAAATTATATTGACTGGAAAAAGTTGGATTAACTGGCTTTAGAACAATATAGATATGGAAGCCATGGCCCATTTAGCTCGATGACTTACCAAAAAAAAGATATGGTGGTTTTCCATAGCTATGATGTTAAATTACTGCAGAGTAACAAACCAAAAATGGCCTTAGAATATTGTAGTTTGGAGGTTTCACTGGCGAAAAAAATCGGTTGACTTCAAGAAATTATGGGGGAACGGATGAAAATATCATCATCATTGGATCGATGAGCTTTGACGGTCAGAAATATGGGCTCACAACTGATAATGATGTTATAGATATAGATATAGATATAGATATAGATATAGATATAGATATAGATATCCCCTCTGGTAACCAAACATGACGGAAAACGTCTACAGCATTTGTCATGGCAAAATGCATCTTTGAACGGATATGATATCCATAGACCATTTTGCATTGCCACATTAGATTGGCACAGGGCTGGATGAAAAGATTTGAGACGGATAAACTCAATTTTGCAAACAGCTACCCTCTGGTAATTTAACATAGCTATTGATTTACCCATTAAAAATTGTGATTTTCCAGTTCGCTATGTTAGTTTACCAGAGGCTACTTGCAAACGGAATGTTCGTTTGCACATTGATCGCTTTCTGGCTTTGGAAAAGAAACGCCGTCGCCCCTTGTGAAGTCCATGTCCGCATTCGTGCCTGGTCCTACGGAGTTTCCTCAGGGTCAGCTGATCAACCGCTGGGTGAGCATATTTCAGTGCCAATGTTTGGCTGCAGCCAAAAAGAACGTTGAATTTTGCTCTTAGAGGTTGTACCTGGAAAATATCGATAATTATATGGTATATACATATTATATACCTATTTTATTTTTTTGTAAATTATACATCAATTCCATGACACAGTTTTTTTAATCATATGTACATGTATGTAACATGCGCAAAAACTTGATGTGAGTGGCAGGTGCCGCCAAGGCTCTCAGGAAAGCACAGTAGTGGTCAAACATCGGCACACATTGCCGCCTCGCTGTGCCTCAGATCAGACTTTCCAAAGAAAAGACATCTGTTTGGTATTTGATCTATTCATGTTGAAGGGAACATAAGGGAAGTCAGTCTGTCAACATGCATCGCAATAAACAACCTCCTTAGGGCCGTTGCGCATTCCGTGCTTCCAAGAACGTCATGATCCCACGACTCTGATTGTTCACCGCAGTTACCCTCTGATCATCCCACCTGGCGACATCCGATGAGTTTCCCACGAGTTTCATGGGGCTTTCCCCAGTTTCTTCCCGCGGCGAGCAGCAGAACTTGGACCTCTCAGGGCCCAGCATTTGTAGCTCGTGGATCACGGTGCCCTGTTCGCTGGCGAAAATTTGCTCAAGCAGAGTTAAGCGCCGAAAAGAAATAAGGACATATGGGTATTATAACATATATATATATATTATAATATACATATTATAAATATATATATATATAATTATATTATAATATACATATGTAACTGACATGTATCGGTATGCAATTCAGGGAATATAATCAAAATAGATGGCGGATGTGCAGCATGGCAGAGTGCCACATGGGGAATAGTTACAGGTATTTATGTATCATAGAGATATCATCTGAGATATCGGGAAAAAAAACACATATGTCTTTCTTAGTAGCATGTGGTTGCCACCTACCCCGTGTGGGAGGGAAGGGATGTGGGAGCTGGATGCAGCAAAAATCGTTGCTCCATTCGTGCCGCTTCATGTTTGGTCTGCAAAAATATGACTAATCAAACGGTCTGGAAAACTGCATGTTCTTATTCATGTTTGAAACCACATCTAGAACCTCCAAGAAATGCTAGAGCACGTCTGCTTGTACTGGGCATCGCTGCTATTCTTGGAACTGTTTTTTTCCGCCATCTGTTTTGTTTCTTCTATTTATTGTGTGTTTTTTTCTGCCTTCTTCTATTTCTTCGTTTACCTTCTTTTCTCCTTCTTGTTTTTTCTGTGTGTGTTGCTTTTTTTCTGTGAATTTGTTGTTCTTCTTGTTTTCTTCTTGTTGTTCTTTTCCTTTGTCTTCTTGTCCTTTGGCTGTAGAGCTTGTTGTTGCCTTTGCCGTCATTGTTGTCTTTGTCAGAAAATAAGCTAGGGTAGTGAATTTCTCGGATGTGCGGAACAACTTCCTAGCTCAAGCCTAGCGGATGTACTTGTGCTGCAGTGTAGTTGCGTGCCGCACCACGGAGACGGGGAAAACACTACATCCACTTGAATTGTCAACCACTGATGCAAAACTTCTGAAAGATGTTTTTGAAGCAAATGTATGCAAATGTCACATGAGTAGCATAAAGATACTCTGTGGGTCGTAGAGAAAAGAAGTATAGAAGGATAGATATATATATAAACATCGCCTGAAGGTGGGACTCAAGAAACAAGGAGACAACTGGTCCAACCGGTCCCTTTTAAGTGAATTCTGGGCCCCTGGAGAGGGCCCCTGGATGTTGTCCAAATTAAGCAGAACGACAACGTGTGGATTTTGCGCGGTAGACGACAGTGGTTTGTTTGCCCCTAGGATGGTCGCCATCATGCCCAATGGTGTTGATATTGGCTTTGTCCGACATTTTTTGAGCCCCGAAATCCCATTGTTTCTCGATGGGATTTCACTACTTTCCTCAGTATCAAATCGTCATTTTTCTGGGGAAACTCCGTGAATTTCCACCCATTTCCAGGCCCAATTTATGGTCCACTCGCCCACCTTGGTGCCCCACCAATTGAAGGCTTCCTCGGGCGAGGTCCACGTAATCGCCTCAATCGCCACATAAACCTCCAGGAACCTCCAGGTGCCGTGAAAATCCCCTGATTTATATGGAGCTTTCCTAAAATAGTGGTTAATAGTGGTTAATAGTGGTTAATAGTGGTTAATAGTGGTTAATAGTGGTTAATAGTGGTTAATAGTGGTTAATAGTGGATAATAATGGTTATAATAATGGTTAATGATGGTTAATAGTGGTTAATAGTGGTTAATAGTGGTTAATAGTGGATAATAATGGTTATAATAATGGTTAATGATGGTTAATAGTGGTTAATAGTGGTTAATAGTGGTTAATAGTGGTTAATAGTGGTTAATAGTGGTTAATAGTGGTTAATAGTGGTTAATAATGGATAATAATGGTTATAATAATGGTTAATGATGGTTACCCTCTGGTAAACGTTTACATAACGAACTGGAAAGATCCACCATTTCTAATGGGAAAACTCACTATTTCTACGGCCATGTTCAATAGCTTTGTAAACGTTTACCAGAGGGTACCCCTAAATAAACCATCCAAAATGCGTCTGTTTTTGTATTGAAACCTTTGGTTTTGGGTATCCCCCCATTTTAGGAGACCTCCATATGCAGATGGGTATGATAGGTAGAGAGATAGACCGATTTTATATAATACTAGGTCTTTTGTAGCAATTTCTATGTACAGGCTAACCCTATGTATGCATCACCATGTATAGCATATGTGGGAAAAATATGTTAAACAACCTTTTGGTTAAAGTGTTGGCTCCCATATGCGTGGCCACCCAAGAAATCAAATTAAAACCACGCAAGTTACGAAAATATTCATGTTCAATAGAAATTGTTTGATTGCCATGAGGGAAACCACCCAAGCCGAATCTTACAAATCAACACTGGCTAAGCCACTAAATGTGGGTATGGCTAACCTTGCAAAGACTGTTTAACTTGCTAAAATAAACTGTTAACGAACAGAATATGAGTATCCCCACTTAGGTGATTGGTCTCATTTTCAAAAATAACCATACCAGTAAATACGTGTTGTTACTGGTCATATATATATATATAGTATAGATATATATATATGTATATGTGTGTGTGTATCCCGAAATTCAGTGCTGGCTAGCCCGCTAAATATGGGCATCCCCATCCTATCCACATGATATCCCCATCCTCTCCCCATGACCTCCCCCATTTTAGGGTTGCTCCCAACACCCCTGATACAATGATGGGCAAATGGCAAAGTTAAAAGAACCAAAATACCCTCCACTAGTGGTCATCATTTGCCTATAATAGATCTGGGTAAATTGTAACATTTCATTAACCTGAAATGCTGGGCTACATTGGGATAATTCCCCGAATCCTAATTCTCATTCCAGTGAGGGAGAACAGTGAGATTGTTATACCCTCTGGTTATGACTAACATAGCCATGGAAAATCACCATTTTTAATAGGTAAACCTCTATTAAATGAGCCATTTCCCATGGCTATGTTAAATAACCAGAGGGTATAATTTACCCAATGGATTCCCCTCCCAACCCCAACCCACCCGTTGCATACCCACCCGTTGCAGCCACCGTCACTGCCGCATGCCGCAGGGCTTCTTCGTAGCCGCGTCGCCGCTCGGCGCGGCCAAGCTGAACAAGGCAGGCGCCGGGGGAGCGGCAGACGGCGGTGAAGAAGCAGCAGCTGCCTGGCGGTGGAGATATCCTGTACTGTATGTCATTGGATTGATTTAAGGGAAAATCTACAGGAAACCATGGTTTTTACCATCAAATATAGGGCTTTCCGGTTAAAATTTTCCCATCATCCAATTCTATGATGTACTGTATGAAAATAATGATCGTTATTTCTATTACTAGTGTTAGTAATACTATTACTATGTTGTTGTTATCATTATTAGTACTATTATCATGTTTTGCGTTCACTATGGTTGATGTTATTGAGTGTCACTGTTGAAGATAGAAATTGTACAATATGTGTGTATATGATATGATATGATATGATATGACATGACATGACATGACATGACATGACATGACATGACATGACATGACGACATGTATGTATGTATGTATGTATGTCTGTCTGTCTGTCTGTCTGTCTGTCTGTCTGTCTGTCTGTCTGTCTGTCTGTCTGTCTGTCTGTCTGTCTGTCTGTCTGTATGTATGTATGTATGTATGTATGTATGTATGTATATGTATATGTATTGTTTATTTTATTTTTTATTGTATTATGCGTTGTCTTGATAGCATTACTTCTTGTTTATCGGATCTCGATTGAGTATTTTTATGTATGTATGTATATGTATATGTATATGGGAATGTGACTAGTTCTACTATGGTTGATATTGATTGAATTCTTAATTGTCGTTATTGTTGGACAACTTGTGGTTGGTAGTAACCCTAGTCTAGTCTAGTGATTGATACCTATAATAATATATATATATATTGACGATGATACAGTTATGCGTGGATGATTATCACAATCTTTTTCTCTTGTCCTGTAATTATTAAAAAAAAAAACATGACCGCTAAATGAAACTTAATCATGATCTGGATTACTAAGAAATCATTGGTAAAATCACTAATAATTTAAAGGTATCGAAGCTTAATCATGATCTGGATTACTAAGATTACTGATAAAAATCATTGGTATATGTAATCATAAATGGTTTAGAGTTATTGAAACTTAATCATGATCTGGATTACTAAGATTACTAACAAACTATTGGTATAATCACTACGGATTAAAAGTTATCGAAACTTAATCATGATCTGGGTTATATACTAAGATTACTAATAATTCATTGGTATAATCGCTGATGATTTATAGTTATCGAAACTTACTCATGATATGCATTACTAAGATTACACTAAGATTACTAATAAATCACTGGTTTAATCACTAATGATTTGTAGTTATCAAAACTTAATAATGGGCTGGATTACTAAGATTACTAACAAATGATTGGTATGATCACTGAGGATTTAAAGTTATCCAAAGTTAATCATGATCTGGACTATATACTAAGATTACTTATAGATTAGATAGATTAGATAGATTGGATAGATTGGATAGATTGGATAGATTAGATAGATTAGATAGATTAGATAGATAAGACAGATTAGATAGATTGGATAGATTAGATAGACTAGATAGACTAGATAGATTAGATAGATCAGATAGATCAGATAGATAGGATAGATAGGATAGGATGGGATAGGATGGGATAGGATGGGATAGGATGGGATAGGATGGGATAGGATGGGATAGGATAGATGGATAGATGGATAGATGGATAAATAGCTAGCTAGAGAGATAGCTAGCTAGAGAGATAGCTAGCTAGACAAACATAGACAGACAGGCAGACAGGCAGGCAGGCAGACAGACAGACAGACAAATAGATAGATACAGAGATAGAGAGATAGATAGAGAAATAGAGAAATAGAAAAATGGAGAGATAGAGAGATAGATAGAGAGAGAGTAGAGAGAAAGAGAGAGAAAGAGAGAGAATGAGAGAGAAAGAGAGTGAAGTAGAGAGAAGTAGAGAGAAGTAGAGAGAACTAGAGAGAACGAGAGAGAACGAGAGAGAAGGAGAGAGAAGTAGAGAGAAAGAGAGAGAAAGAGAGAGAAAGAGAGAGAAAGAGAGAGAACGAGAGAGAAAGAGAGAGAAAGAGAAAGAGAGAGAACGAGAGAGAAAGAGAGAGAAAGAGAAAGAGAGAGAGAGAGAGAGGGGGGGAGAGAGAGAGAGAGAGAAGTAGAGAGAAAGAGAGAGAAGTAGAGAGAAGTAGAGAGAAAGAGAGAGAAGTAGAGAGAACGAGAGAGAACGAGAGAGAAGTAGAGAGAAAGAGAGAGAAAGAGAGAGAAGGAGAGAGAAGTGGAGAGAAAGAGAGAGAAAGAGAGAGAAAGAGAGAGAAAGAGGGAGAGAGGGGGAGAGGGGGGGAGAGGAACAGAGCTAGAGATTCAGAGAGATACAGAGAGATACAGAGAGATTCAGAGAGATACGGATAGATACACAGGGATACAGAGAGATACAGAGAGATACAGAGAGATAGAAAAATATGCAAGCAGGCAGGCATGTAGGCATGTAGATAGCCGAATAATTGCTTGGAATCATGACTAACAGTGGAAAATTCGAGTCCAAGTAGTAATGAATATCAACAATGCCGATAGATATCATTGGGGATCTTTGCGACTTCGGAAAAATTGTTGGCAAGTGGCCAGAGTGACCAGCGCAAAAAGGATGATTGCCAACAACAGTGAGTTGTGTGACATGCACACAGCAACAATGGGCACTGAATAGAACCTACCAATCAGCAGTGGTTCAGGTAAACGGAGAGGGGACGCCAACAGCTGGGATCTAATCTGCAGATTGTGCATATGAAACATCAATCAGCTTCTAAGCCTAAGCCATGCGTTGGGTCTCCCGCCTATCAAAGTGCAGGAGAAAGCTATGAAGCAGAGAAGTCGGCAGTCATCAGCATCCCCTGAAAGCGCAGGCGTGTAGCTGCACTTACTAAAACACCAAAGACTGGAATCCTTTGCCACCAAACGGCCATTTTTTTCATATCGAAGAAGTCCCAAACGGCCATGTGTTGCGCCATGAAATTGACAGTTGCCCCCCTTATCTTTGCCATCATTGGTGGTGATGCGGTTTTAGGTTAGTATCAATTCTCCCAAAGTGATGCTGCTGGCGAATTTCTGGATCCAACATCCCTGAGGTGTGCCAAACTGACCTCGTGGCGTCGAGAACTTCTTGCCTCCACGTGGCAATATGTCAATGATTCAATTCACCCCCACGTTTAGCATATTTGTTAATTGAATCCCCAGCTGTTGCCCCAATATGCTGTTGGTGTTGTGCCACCAAAGTGGCAGACCGTCCCCGCCCTTTCTGATGTCGTTTCCATCGTTCTCCCATGTTTTCTGATCTTCTGTTCAATCCCCCAATTTCTGCAATAAGGCAGTGATTCTAGTTGCTTGACCACGTTACTTTACCATCTTTAGTGTTTCACATATACCCATTCTCAAATACCCAGCACAATTTTTTGGGGCTGGGCACCATCTAATGTAGCAAACCCAAAATGAATAAACCATCCCCTTTTTCCGAGAAGTTGTGAAAAAGCATCATAAACCATTCAAAATTGGAAGTTCATGATATATTTCATGATTGGCTATCCCACACATTACCATATACGAAAAACACGCATCGCTGTAACCCCTGAAACGCTCCGCGGCACCCGAAAAGGACATGCTCCACGCAGCAATCAGAGCCAAGAGCCCGCACAGCACGCAGGCTTCGCGCGGATGCGCCTGGCCGTGGAAAACCTCAAGGTCCTTTTTCCTCCAAAAAAAGAAAAGTGAAGGTCCTAATTTAAGAAATGTAGAAATTAAGGTTTTAATGAGAGCTTGGAGAATCATCCATGGTGCGAAATCTTTGGAACTTTCCTTGGTGCTGAGTTTTCCCTCTCCGCGAGTTTGATTTTGGATTCTCCGACCTCATGACATTTCACTCATTTTACCATAAAACAAAATTTCGAATCTCGCCTGGCTGGAAAATCCTCCAGAAATGTCGATGATTTACCCTCTGGTAATTTAACATAGCTATTGAAAATGACCCATTTATAGTGGATTTACCCATTGAAAATGGTGATTTTCCATAGTTATGTTAGTTTACCAGAGGGTACCTTGCAAAGATGATGATCTCCTAGCCTCCCAAGAAAAAACTGCCCTTACATCCAATCAGAATTCTGCCATTTGGGGAGACACTACTGTAACGATCTGTAACGGTTTTCAGGCATACCCATCTCCCGCAATAGTATACCGATTGCATACCCATTCTTGTTGGATAATATCCCCATAAAGTATCCATAAATCCAAACATTTTTGGTTATAAATACCGCCCCCCCAATCTCCATTTACTGGGTAAATCACCTATTGTTGCTGCTTACATAAACCCCCATGTTTCTTTGTTTTCGCATTATCACCCATAATACAAAATGGTTCACTACTACTCTCGTATATCCCCATGATATTCCCATGATTTGTGGTTGATATCCCAGCAGTTGATTTTTAAATCCCTTTAACTAAGGATGTATCTACCATAAATCCTAGTTCACCAAGTGAACTAGGTCAACTTGGCTATCATAACTCAGTTTTAAGTCCCATTGTATAAATGCCCCATGTTTGCTGATGAACTCAGTTTTCCTCAACGACCCCTGCAGCGGCACCGGCCGCACCGGCCGCACCTGCACTTGTTCCGGTCGTTTCCGGCAACAACTCCAAGGCTCAGGTGGACCCCAGCTGCTAAAGATCTGGGGAAGGCGGAGTTCTGACGGAAAGGCTCCTGGATATTATATATATACATATGTCTAATTAGAATTGTAACGTAATATTGATACGATCATAATTATATACACAGTATTGTCATAATATTATATATATTTTTGTAGGTATATTGTCATATAAGAGATATATGAGATGTGTATATATATAGATAGCAATCAAAAACAGAAAGAAGCAGAAGAGTCAAGTCCAATTCCAGAAAATAGTGATTTTTATGATGTTTTTATCCTTTGGGTGAATACTATGGAGGAAGTATCGGATTGCTTCACGCATCTTTCGAAGCATCACTGAGCCTTCTCGGAAGGCAGCAACTCATGACATCCCACCTGGCAGCGGGGGGTACTGAAGCTATAGACAAGTATCAGCTGATAGCAATCACTGGCAATCACCATTTTGCCATAGAAAAGTGTGTGTGTGTATATATATATATATATGTATCTATATCTGGTTGGTGGTATACCTACCCCTCTGAAAAATATGAAAGTCAAATGTGATGATTATTCCCAATATATATATATACGGGAAAATAAAAAATGTTCCAAACCACCAACCAAATATATGTATATATATATATATATTGTTTTGATGTTTTGTGGATTTTCTTGAGCTAATTCGGTTTCTGCGTGTCCAACTTCTTTGATCCACAAGGGGATACCTGAACATGTGTCTATCACCAACAGGAATCCTCCGAGGATTGCCATGTCCATTGCCCCTGGCCATGCCTCCGAAATCGGATCACCTGGGAGCCTGGGATCACCGAAAAAAACCACCGGTTTCGCCGGAAAACGGTGACCGCCTTGTGTTCCAAGCACCTTCGCACCCAGCCGGAGCCGGCTCCGGACGTCAGCAGCTCGGATCCTTCCGCATGGTGTCCCAGCACCATTTGCCTTGCAGAAATCGACACCCAGGTCCCATACATCCAACGTCAAAAAAAAACATGGGTTTCTCCGGGGTGCCCCTCAGTCCAAGTATGACTGCATGACTCATCATGTTCTGCATAAAAAGGTACAAATTGGACACACCCATGATGGTTAGTTGTTTAGAGGATGGGGGCCCATAGTTAGCTAAGTTGGTTTGTAACTATAATAACTTAATAACACTAGTGCATGATACTTATAAATTTGTTTAGATGGTGTTATAAACCAACTTATAACTAGGGGGCCATCCTCTATCCCCCATGACTTCTTTGTTATCTCCCATTCATCTCGGGTCGAAGCTGCTCCACCACTTCCAAGTGATCAGCTGCAACAGCACAGCCTGTGAAGGATGGACTCACTTTCGTAGACAGACTTGGAAACCAAACTGAAACTCGAAACTCAGAATTTCAGCCACTTTCTTGGACTTTGCTGATATACCTGCTGTGAGTCTTATCAGAGTTAAGTATTGTTTGCAGCTGCACTGCATTTCCTCAGACATTGCCAACTGTCCGCACCACCACCACCACCACCACCGCCACCACATACAAACATAGTTGTACACTTTGGCAGGAACACTCAAACATCATCATCATCATCATCATCATCATCATCATCGTCATTGTCATCGTCATCATCATCATCATCATCATCATCGTCATCGTCATCGTCATCGTCATCGTCATCGTCGTCGTCATCATTATCATCAGCAGCAGCAGCATCACTATCACTATCACTATTATTATCATTATGACTATTACTACTACTATTGCTATCACTATCTGTGGAAGCAGAAATTCTAGGCCTTCTTGGTGTTGCTCTGAATGGGAAAATGGAGTTTTCTCAGGATTACAGTAGTTCGCCAAAGACTACCCGCTGAAAAGGACGAACCTATGCCGAGCTTTGATGGTCTCCTAACATGTAGGTAGTTTTGGGTGGTCACCTGCGCACATAACCAACTTTCCAGGGGTTACTGTCAGCAACTCTCAAAGATGGAGAATTTCCGCACCGTTTTCAGCAGAAAACCAAGATCAACAGAATCTCAGCTGTTTTCTACAAAAAGAATCTCAAAAAAATGGACTTCCATCATCTTCCAAGTATCTTTAAACTCATATGTGTTCCACCATACCCATCATACACACAGTGACACAGATATATATATATGTATGAGGGACCTTTAGGTCATATTATGCATATGCTGGCTGCTCGAGACTTCATAGATTTAAAAGATTTACAAGAATAAAAAGAATTGAAATAATTAAAAGATTTGACAGATTTAAATATTTAATTCTTTTAAATCTTTTAATTCCTCAGAGCTTTAAAAGATTTAAAAGATTTAAATATTTAATTCTTTTAAATCTTTTAATTCTTTTAAATCTTTGAAATCTTTGAAGTCTCCAGGAATCCTCCAACAATAGGGTCAGCTCACGATTTAAATCTTTTAAATCTTTTAATTCCCCAGAGCTTTAAAAGATTTAAAAGATTTAAATATTTAATTCTTTTAAATCTTTTAATTCCTCAGAGCTTTAAAAGATTTAAATATTTAATTCTTTTCAATCTTTTAATTCCCCAGAGCTTTAAAAGATTTAAAAGATTTAAATCCCAAGAGGTCCCCAGAATCTCACGTCCTTTGGGGACTTAAAATATTTAAAAGAATTAAAAGATTTAAAAGATTTAAAAGATTTAAATATTTAAAAGATTTAAATATTTTAAATCTTTTAATTCCTCAGAGCTTTAAAAGATTTAAAAGATTTAAATATTTAATTCTTTTAAATCTTTTAATTCCCCAGAGCTTTAAAAGATTTAAAAGATTTAAATATTTAATTCTTTTAAATTTTAAATCTTTTAATTCTTCAGAGCTTTAAAAGATTTAAAAGATTTAAATATTTAATTCTTTTAAATCTTTTAATTCTTTTAAATCTTTTAATTCTTTTAAATCTTTGAAGTCTCCAGGAATCCTCCAACAATATGGTCAGCTCACGATTTAAATCTTTTAAATCTTTTAATTCTCCAGAGCTTTAAAAGATTTAAAAGATTTAAATATTTAATTCTTTTAAATCTTTTAATTCCCCAGAGCTTTAAAAGACTTAAATCCCAAGAGGTCCCCAGAATCTCACGTCCTTTGGGGATTTAAAATATTTAAAAGAACTAAAAGATTTAAAAGATTTCAAAGATTTAAATATTTAATTCTTTTAAATCATTTAATTCCTCAGAGCTTTAAAAGATTTAAAAGATTTAAATATTTAATTCTTTTAAATCTTTTAATTCTTCAGAGCTTTAAAAGATTTAAAAGATTTAAATATTTAATTCTTTTAAATCTGTTAATTCTTTTAAATCTTTTAATTCTTTTAAATCTTTGAAGTCTCCAGGAATCCTCCAACAATAGGGTCAGCTCAAAATTTAAATCTTTTAAATCTTTTAATTCCCCAGAGCTTTAAAAGATTTAAAAGATTTAAATATTTAATTCTTTTAAATCTTTTAATTCACCAGAGCTTTAAAAGATTTAAAAGATTTAAAAGATTTAATTCTTTTAAATCTTTTAATTCTCCAGAGCTTTAAAAGATTTAAAAGATTTAAATGATTTAAATATTTAATTCTTTTAAATCTTTTAATTCCTCAGAGCTTTAAACGATTTAAAAGATTTAAATATTTAATTATTTTAAATCTTTTAATTCCCCAGAGCTTTAAAAGATTTAAAAGATTTAAATATTTAATTCTTTTAAATCTTTTAATTCTTTTAAATCTTTTAAATCTTTGAAGTCTCCAGGAATCCTCCAACAATAGGGTCAGCTCACGATTTAAATCTTTTAAATCTTTTAATTCCCCAGAGCTTTCTTTAAAAGATTTAAAAGATTTTGTGGTGCCATTTTCAATTTGGATGGACACGCACAAATCAAGAAGTGTTCACATGTCTCAGGGGTTTTACATGCTTCAGTCGTCTCACTGGCATGACCCCTGCACAAGCGATGACACGCTACCTTTTGGATGGCTCAAGAAAGAGGCAGCCGCTGCTGCTTCGGGTTTTTTCCCCGTTTGGGGATCGCAGGTTATGAGCCCAAGTGCTACGGCGCTTGGGTGAACTCCGCGTTGTGCGCGGCCATGGACCGTCGAAGGCGGCAGCTGCGCGAGACGGCTGACGAGCGCTTGGACCGCTTGATCGCCATGGAGCGGAACTCGAGGATCAGCTCCCCGGTGCCTGAGGTCAGAAGACTGATGGTGGAGGAGGGAAGAGCTGCAGCTTCAAGCCCGGGACCCCGACGTGATGGTCGAGGAGAAGGTGAAGCTGCTGGGTCCACGGGTTTGCTGCCAGTGGGATCAGGGACCCCTGCGCCGGATGGCCTGTTGGCTCCACTGTTTCAGGACCTTGGACAGGAGGAAGCCCCACGAGTTTTCCACAGGAGGTTGGACGAAGATGATGAGATTCGTCCGGCCGAGGTGGCAGAGTTTTCTAGTGCCGCTGGAGCTGGTCAACTATCAGCTCAGGATCAACGAGATGCTGGCCAAGGACGAGGTTCGGGATACTGTGATGGCATGACCTTGTCCGAGGCAGCAGATGGCCGGTTTGGCCATGATCGTGACAGTGCTGGAGCTCTGATAGTTCAGCCTGGTGTCAATGCCTTCTGGAGCAGTGAAGTCAGAAGGGCAGCAGCACTTGAGGGAGTGCCGGATGTTGCAAGGCCTCAGGCATTGCCGCCGCTTGCTGGCCCGCCGGTGTCTTACGGCCCTGTGCAGGCCCATGGTGAAGGTTGTGGAGGTTCGGGACATCTTCATCCTGGTGGCATGGCTGGTAGCATTGGCCCTGAGCAGGCCTCGCGCTGTGCATCTGGTGGCATTGGCCCTGAGCAGGCCTCTTTGCGCTGTGCGGCTAATGGCATAGGTCCTGAGCAGGCCTCTTCGCGCGGCATGATAGCTGGTGCAGGCCCTGTGCAGGCCTCTTCAAGCTGGGTTGCAACTGGTGGCATCGGCCCTGGGCAGGCCCTTGGTGCAGAAGGACAACAAGCAGGCCTTGTGCAGGCCAATGGAGCGCTACTTGATGGTGGTGCTGGATCTCTTCAAGCTGGTCTGAGTGGAGCTCTGTCGCAACCGTCGCCGGAGAAGTCAGTGGAAGCACTTCGGCTGAGGATTGTGAAGGCAGCAGAGGAAAGCTTCATCAGAGAAGCGAAGAAGTTGAAGGGCGAGGAGCCGGAGGGTGAGGTGCGCTCTTACCACACAGCTTCGAGTGGGCCTGGAGCGAATGGAAGGATGGTTCCACCAATGCCTTCTTTGCAGGGAGCTCCTACGTCATCTTTGGTGGCAGTGCAGCCTGGGGTGCAACCTATGTCTGCGCATCATGGACTTCATCAAGGAGGTCAGACCGCTGGACTTGGAGGTGGCATGATGTGGAGCCAACCAGTTTCTCCAATGGTGACTCACTCTCCTGGAACGCAGAGTGTCCTGGGTTTCAATGGTGGATGTGGGATGAATCCTGGACATCATCAAGGTGGTGCAGTCTATGGTGGACCGGCAGTGACTTCTCAGAGTCCTGATGTGGGCTTACATGGTGGTGGTCAACTTCCAGGTGGATTGGGAAGGTCGGCCAATGCAGGACACCTTGGAGGTGGACTGACTGGACCTAGTGCTGGTGGGGGTGCAGGTGGAACTACGTCGCTGGTGAGACCTCCAGGCTTGGGTGGACCAGATCTACAACAAGGTGTGGCACAGCCGATGGAGCCTTTGAGAGGTTCCGAGCTTCCTCTACTACCTCAACCTGGGAAGCAGTCAGCTCTGCAGTTTGGTGATTGGATCACAGTGGTCACTCCGATGATTGGGGACGTGGCTGGATCTGCTCGTGGTTGGTGGGGTGACATCTTGCAAGATGCCTCAAGTTTGTATGACCGGTGGCTCACTTCGACGCCCTTGGAGAGGATCAGACTTCGTCCAACAGAAGTTCAACGATCCGAGGCCCATCTACGCTTGGAGCAGAGGGTGGTGCCTATGCTGCTGAAGTGCGTCCCGGAGTCCATCAAACAGGACCTGATTGCCAGCAGGACTATGACGGTCACTGGCATTATGTACAGGTTGTGGACGGTCTTTCAACCTGGTGGCAGCTCAGAGCGGGTGAGCATTCTCAAACAGCTCACGGAGCCGAAGGTGGCCAGCAGCGCACCGGATTTGCTTGGGGGACTTCGGCGATGGAGGCGTCTCATGAGCCGATCCATGGAGCTGAACCTGGCCCTTCCAGATCCGATCATTCTTGGAGGAGTTCTTCATCGCTTTGCAGATGCTCTTGGGAAGCTGGGTGGAACGCAGCTGGCGTACCGGGTGGCCTCGGTGAGGCAGGAGCTGGGGGTTGACATCAGGCCCTT